TTCTACCCATCTACCTTCCTTCCTTCCTTCCTTCCTTCCTTCTTTCCTTCCTTCCTAGCTTTCTCCCTTCCTTTCTTTCCAAAATAATACAATTAACCCCACTCTGTCTCCCCCCCTTTTCTCTCTTTCCCCGCTCTCTAACTCTGTCTCTCTCTCTCTACCTCCTGTTCTCCATTCCTCCCTTCCACTCGCCCTTCCTTCCTATCTAGGGCCCGTCGTCTACCGCCACGACGGGCTTTGCTTACTAGTTTTCAATAAAATACAAGGCGATCTGCAATACACCTTCCTTATTTCTTTCATATAGCAAAATGCTTCACAGAGGATTTAAAACGGCCAGCTTTGTGGGGCAGGGCTGTTCACAGGATATCTTGCGTAAGCAGTTGTGGTGCCAGCACCTTGCCCTCCCAGTGACCCCTACTGCTGCTTAGGGTAGATGCCTGCCATATTTTCTGGTTCTGGACAGGGTCCCCACCCCCCACCCCAAGTTGTGCTTGCAGATAAAATGACGAGCCAGTCCTAAGCATGCTTACTTGGAACTGAATTCTGTTTTCCCTCTAACGTGCACTTGCTGCCCCTCCCTGTTGTCATTTTTTTTTATGACTTCTCACAAGTCTGATCATTTCTTAGGAGAAGTGAGTGTCTACCTATCTCCCAGTAGGGCCAGAGTTCACTCAGTGAACTTCCTTGGGATGGAAGTGCCGGTCTAAATTGTCCAATAAAAGTCCGTAACCTCCCTTCCTCGGCCTTTTCTCTAGTTAGTTTTCCTGTGGTTCTGTGTGGCTTCAGAACTGTTATCTGTTGCTGTAATAACGAACAACGAAAGGGTGGGGAAGGACTCCCTGGATAACCATGACTTGCAATCTCAATTTTGAGTTCTCTTTACAATCAAGTGAACTCAGTTGCTGAAGGTTGCTCTCACTAAGAACAGAAGAGAACAGAAGAGAAGCCATGTTGGATCAGGCCAGCGGCCCATCCCGTCCAATACTCTGTGTCACACAGTGGCCAAAACCAAGGTGCCATCAGGAAGTCCACCAGCCGGGCCAGAACTCCTGAAGTCTTCCCACTGTTGCCACACACACACCTAGCACCAAGAATACAGAACATCACTGCCCCAGATATAGTGTTCCCTCTATGCCTTGTGACTAGTAGCCACTCATGGACCTCTGCTCCACATGTTTGTCCAATCCACTCTTGAAGTTGTCTTTAAGAACATAATGTGTAATTGTACAACATTGTAGAGCTCATTTTGCTGCCAGGTGCTCTTCTGTTTTGTATTTACTAGGCCACTGCTTGGCTCTCTGTTTTCGCTTTTATCTCAGGCATTGATCTGGAGAACATTGTCTACTACAAAGATGACACCCACTATTTTGTCATGACTGCCAAAAAGCAGAGCCTGCTGGATAAAGGAGTAATACTGCATGTGAGTGAGTGTGCGCGTGCACTTTGAAGTCTCTGTGAAACACTTAACTGGGTCTCAGTGGATGAGAGTCTGGCCTGGTTAGTTAATTTATTAAATGTGTATCTTTCCTTTACTTCCATGGAAGTCAAGGGGGCATGGAGGGAGTTCCCATGCAAGTTCTGATCAGACCGAGATCAGCTTTTGTGCATTCCATTAGTGTTCTTGTATGCTGTTTTGCTAACAATTTAGAACCCAGCATTACAATGATAAAAACCCACCTCTGTGTGGTACATAAAACAGGCACAGCACAGGTAGCAGACATCATCCCTTAATCAGTATAGCTCAGAGGCATTCTGGAATAAAATTGCTTTCTACTTAGAAGCATAGAAGTAGAGAGCTGGAAGGAATCCTAAGGGTTATCTAGTCCAAACCGCTGCACGATGCAGGAGATTCACAACTTCCCCCTGCTGACTCCCCCGTAATAAAAGTCCAGGCAAAATAAAAGTCCAGGATCCCTGGGCCAGTCTGGTCTGGAGGAAAATTCCTTCCTGGCCCCAAACTGGAGATCGGCCTTACCCTGGGCATATAAGAAAACGCCATGAGAGCCGAGCACTCCCCCCCCCCTCCCCAATCTCATGATCTGCCTGAATTCATAGTGAGTCGGAGAATCAGAAACTCTCCTGTAGGTCCCAGTCAACTGCCTGACTTCAGTGGAGGTCATTTCCCACAGGATGGGTTTTCAGGTACACCGAACCCAAGTCTTATAGGACCTTACAGGTCAAAGGCCTCAGCAGGGCGGTTTGCATCAGGGACCTTGAATCTGTGCCCCGAGACCTTCTGTTTAAAAAGAGGTTGGGGGTTTGTGATATGTGCTGGTTTTCATCCTCCTCCCCAATAATCCAATTTGGGGATTCAGCACCAAAGATCTTTGCCACAAAAATGGGCTAGAGAGTTACTTTAAAAAGTGTGTGTTGCATTGCCAGCCATAGCGGCAACAGGGAAACCACACAAACCCGATCCTGTGTGGAAGAACCCCTAGGAGATTTGAGACCATCCCCTGGAAAGGGGCCTTGGCTCAGTGACAGAGCATCTGCTTGGCACGCAGAAGGTCCCAGGTTCAATCCCCAACATCTTCACTTAAAAGGGTCAGGCGGCAGGTGATATGAAAGACCTCTGCCTGAGACCCTGGAGTGCTGCTGCCAGTCTGAGTAGATGAGACTGACCTGGATGGATTCAGGTTTGATTCCGTGTAAAGCAGTTTCATGTGTCGTCATGTGATCCTGATCCTCCTTCCTCGTACGGCAGGACTACGCAGACACGGAGCTCCTACTCTCGAGAGGGAACGTGGACCAGGAGGCTTTGCTCAACTATGCCAGGGAAGCAGCTGACTTCTCAACCAACCAGCAGCTGCCATCACTGGACTTTGCCATCAACCACTATGGACAGCCAGACGTGGCCATGTTTGACTTCACGTGCATGTATGCCTCCGAGAATGCAGCCATGGTCCGAGAAGTGAGCCATCACCAGCTACTTGTGGCGTTGGTTGGAGACAGTCTGTTAGAGGTTCGTTGTGGTCGTCCCCCCCCCCCCCAATAGCTTAGTTAACTGTTTGCTGAGTCAGTGTTTGGCTTAATTCCTTGCCTGTCGCCACTCGTGAGTTCTCAAGAAACATCAGTGTTTGAATGTATGTAGCACCGTCAATGCTCAAGGCATTAGAATGACAAGGGCCAGCCTCTCTCCCAAGGGGGGTTTGTTGTCTAATCTGTAGATGTAGAATCAGCTCATTACAAGGCTCACTGTAGAATTTGAGCAGGTAAAGGAAACTGGAGGGAAATTAAAAGAGGCGAGGGAAACAAAATGTTTAAAGGATTTATCTTCAGAGGGGGGAAAAATTGCCTACTGAGAGTAATTCATTCTTCTGAACACGGGAGAAGGGCTGTAGCAAAAGGCATCGCCCAATGGAACTGGCCTTGGGCTGGAAGTTGGTGTCTTCGCCCGCATCACCTTTAGTCCGTCACTCACAAGCCAGCATGGTATAGTGGTTAAAAGCGATGGACTCTAATCTGGAGAGCTGGGTTCGATTCCCTGCTCCTCCTCCACATGAAACCTGCTGGGCCACCTTGGGCGAGTCACAGTCACAGTTCTCTCTCAACTCTCTCCGCCCCAGCCGCCTCACAAGGTGCCTGTTGTGGGGAGAGGAAGGGAAAGGCCATTGTAAGTTGCTCTGAGAAAAAGGGTATTAAAAAAACAACTCTTCAGCTCTTCTTCACAAGGCAGTCGGTTGGGGAGCATTCATCTGAGCTGAACTGGCAGTGGGCGTTGAGATGGTGCCTCACTGTCTAGCTGACTTTCATTCCTCTTTTCACATTCTCTCCCCCCCCCCACTCTGCTGGTGAAACAATTCAAAAGGCTTGAGTAAAAAAAAAAAAGCATTTAACTTCTGTTACGTTCTATAAACAGCTATCACAGTTCATTCAAGGTGAGAGCCAGCGTGGTATAGTGGATAAAGTGTTGGCCTAAGATCTGGGGAAGCCAGGCTGGAATCCCCGCTCTGCCATGGGAAGCTCAGGGGTCATCACTTTGGGCCGGCCTCGCCTCCTCAGCCTAACAACCTTGTGAGGATAAAGTGGAGGAGAGGAGAATGATGGAAGCCGCTTTGGGTCCCCCACTGGGGAGAAAGGCAGGGTATAAGCGGAGTAAATAATATAAAGGCGTTGCTAAATGCCATTGGGTGGGCTGCGGTGGCTCAAGTGGTTAAGACGCTGAGCTGCAGACCGGAAGGTCGGTAGTTCAGCAGTTCGAGACCCGAGTGCCGCCTGACGGAGTGAGCTCCCGTCTCTGGCCCCAGCTCCTGCCAACCTAGCAGTTCGAAAGCAAGAAATTGCAAGTAAATAAATAGGTACCACTTCGGTGGGAAGGTAACAGCATTCCATGCGCCTCGGCATTTAGTCATGCCGGCCACATGACCACGGAAACGTCTTCGGACAGCGCTGGCTCTTCGGTTTGGAAACGGAGATGAGCACCGCATCCCTAGAGTTGGATTCGGCTGGCTTTCGAGCAGGGGAAACCTTTACCGTTACCTAAATGCCACTGGTGTCTGGCATACCTGGCTGCTGTTCTGTAGTGATTTCAGGGTCTTGTTGTACTCTCGTGAGCTGCTTCTGAGCGTCTCCCACGTGAGCATTAGAGGAGCAGGCGGCCATCCTGATGATGTGTGAGGGCTGCAGTTTCTGCACTTCCTCTCATTCCTGGAGCGTCACCTCAGGGGCAGAGGAATGCTTTAGTATCTCTTTCATTACCCGTTGCTCCCTCCTTTTTCGAGTTGCTCCCCATTGTTGTGAAAGGGCAAAGGGCTCAGAGGAGCCTGTAGTTGTGCAGCAAACAACCATTAGCAGCTTGTGAGGGCATATCTTGTTTTAGGAAGCTGGCCCCTGGGGTTCAGGGAATACCGATACCTCCATGAGATGCATCTTGGACTCCCAGAAAGAGGCTGGCTCCTGAAGCAATCATACAAATATGTTTCCTCTGAAGGCTTTTTTTTTAACCTCTCTCCTTCTTCTTCCCCCTCCCCTTCCCGCCCTCTTCCCAAATCCTTCCTTTTTGCTCATTTGCAGCCGTTCTGGCCAATGGGAACTGGAATAGCCAGGGGCTTTCTTGCTGCCATGGACTCTGCCTGGATGGTACGAAGCTGGTCGCTCGGGACGAGCCCTTTGGAGGTCCTTGCAGAGAGGTAAAGAGATCCTTGAGCCCCTTGGAAGGGAAGGGCAATTGCAAAAAAAAATAAAATAAATGTGTTCATACTTGTCCAGCAATGTACAGAAACGCTGTCGCTCTTTTAGTGAGTTACAAACTTCCACGTAGGGAGGAAAAATCAGGCGGTGGAGCACTTAACCAGCCGCAGCTCATGAAAGAAGGATGCAGCGAAGTACAGGCTGCTCAGACTCTCCTTGCTGTCATCATTGCCCGAGAAACAATCAGTTCGGAACAACCCGAATTGGCTTCCCATTGGAGGAAAACTCAGCCAAAGGGAGCTGTAGGAATCAGCCCTCTTTCTGTTGAGTTTTATTGGGTGGAAAACTTAAGTTTCAAGCTGAGCAGGCAGGTCCAAGAAGGAATGCTTGAAACCTAAATATAATCCTCTAAACTTCAAGGTGCTCTGCACAGAATCTGTGGAAGTGAAAAGGCACAGCTAATTTAAGGGAACTGATAAGAACACAAGGGTGCTACACTTTTAGTTGTGCATGTGTCCTTGAGCAGTTGTTTGTCTTGCCAGGCACCAAATGAAAATGATAGCCAGTGACAATGCAGATATTTAAGCTTTTCACAGGACTGGGCAATATGAGTTTGCACCAAGGTGGCTGTTGCGTGAAGTACTGACTGCATCGTTCTTTCACTGGGCTTTGCCTTACATCACTGAAACTAGCACTGGCATCTCTTCTTTCCTAGAGAGAGCATCTATAGGTTGCTGCCTCAAACCACCCCTGAGAATGTGAGCAAAAACTTCAGCCAGTACAGCATTGATCCTGTGACCAGATACCCAAACATCAATGTCAACTTTCTGCGGCCAAGCCAGGTGATCGCTTTTGTTCCTGAGCGTTCCTGTTGCCCTCGATGCAGCGTGAATCCTGTGCCACCTTCGTGTTGGGGACCTTTGAAGTATCTGAATCTCCAGTTGCCTCTTCACTGCATGTTGGATGAGATTTGGGGAGGGATTGCTGGGGCAGCAGGGGAGGTCATGGCTTAGAGTGGATAGAAGGGCAGGTGGGAATAAGGGGGACTTGGTGCAGAGCTCTGTCTGGAAGGTGAAATGTCTGCGCACATGTATGGATTTTGTTTAGTACGTTTTTTAAAAGTGGAGATAAAAGCAGAGACAAAGCTGGTGAACAAAATGAGCGAAGTTATTTGGGAAGTCCATGAGATCGGAGGGAAGGTAGAAGATGTGTATGAAGGGGGCTTGCTGGAGCTCGAATCTGTAAGTGGTTGTGTGTTGAGCAGATCGAGATGGAGTGGCAAAATACATATGATGCTGTTGCAACCCCCCCCCCCCCCCGTACCAGGTTGTCACAACTTTGCACTCTATGCAGACTCTGAGCATAGTATTCTAAAACATCCTTTAAAATAGGCAAAGTTTGCAGTGTGCAGTAGAAAGACGTACTCGTTCCAGTTCGACGTTGGAATAAATCCCCTTCCTGTTGACATGCTTTTTCTGAAGCCCAACGAGATGTGCTTAACCTTTTTGAACTCCCTGCAGGTGCGTCATTTGTATGATACAGGAGACCTGAAAGACATTCACCTGGAAATAGAGAATCTGGTGAACTCCAGAACACCAAAGTTGTCACGGAATGGTAGGCCTCAGCTCAGTCCCATTTGTTTATCAGCCTTTTCTCCCTCTTCCTAGTTCTTAGAGTAGAATATGTACAGGCTGCTGTCAAGGGCGTGCTCAAATGCTTCATGAACTTTTCAAGAGCATCAACTGGGGTGTTTCCTTGGAATTTTTTTAATGATCTCTTTTTGGTTTCTCAAGTTCTATGAACATTACCTGCATTTTCAGCTTTTGATGTGCGTGCACACAAAGAACCTCAAATCAATTTTTTTAATATTCGCAGCCATTCAGTTAGTTTGGAAGATACATTTTTGGGAGGGCTGTGTTACATTTTGTTAAAAATAAGAAATCAGTTCTTTTAAATGAGGAAGTCAGGGTCTTTTTTCGTATTAGATTAGTGGTGAACATTAGAAAAACAAAGGATCAGTTCAGCTGTAGCACATGGATATAGTTGGTTTGTGAAATCAGGATTTGGCTTGCAGAGGAACCCTGAAATCCTGGTTTGCTTGACAAATGCTGTTTCCATTGACTTTGCTCTGTCCTGGCATCTCTGCTGCCACAAAGTACATGAAAGCAGCGCCATGTAAGAAGTCCAGACTAAGCCAGAATGTCTGTATTCATAAGCCATGCAAAACCACAGTTAATGGTAGCGGTGGCTCATACTCCAACTTCAGACCACAGTTTCAGGTTCTGTTTTGGCAGTCATGAACTAAAGGTAAAGGTTTCCCTTGCTCGAAAGCCAGTCGAATCTGACTCTAGGGTGCGGCGCTCATCTCCATTTCCAAGCTGAAGAGCCAGTATTGTCCAAAGACGTTTCTGTGGTCATGTGGCTGGCATGACTAAACACCAAAGTGCACGGAACCCTGTTACCTTCCCACCGAAGTTGGTACCTGTTTATCTACTTGCAATTTCTTGCTTTCGAACTGCTAGGTTGTCAGGAGCTGGGGCCAGAGGCTGGAGCTCACCCCATCCCACAGCACTAGGGTCTCGAACTGCCAAACTACAAACCTTCTGGTCTGCAGCTCAGTGTCTTAACCTCTGAGCCACTGTGGTCAGTCACTGACTACCCATTGTAAATGGAATGGCCCATGATCAGATTTATACCATCATTCTGCATTACGTCTGAACTAAGTTAAATAGTTCTGTGCTTAGCTCAGCGGATGACAACCAACCCGCCTTGATCAATTTGTTTCAGAGTCGGTAGCTCGCTCCAGCAAACTGCTGGGCTGGTGTCAGAGGCAGACGGACGGATACGCCGGTGTCAATGTAACGGATCTTACAATGTCTTGGAAGAGTGGCCTAGCATTATGTGCCATTATCCATCGATACCGCCCTGACCTCATGTAAGTAACTGAACTGAAAACAGGAGAATAGATTCAATTTTCATGTGAGGTCATCCGGATTACTGGAAAGGTTGTCTAATGACCTCCTTGTGGTGGAGGGCAAGGCGGAGCTTGTGATTACCCTGAAGGCTCATGGTTGGAGGGAACTGTTGGTGAAGTCTGAGAACACAAACTCTCCCTGTAAGTTTGAGCATAGCAGTGTCTTTTCTATTTCGCAGAGACTTTGATTCTCTGGATGAGCACAATGTGGAGAAGAATAACCAGCTGGCATTTGACATTGCCGAGAAGGAGTTTGGAATCTCCCCCATCATGACCGGTAAAGAGATGGCATCGGTTGGTGAGCCCGACAAGCTGTCCATGGTCATGTATCTCACTCAGTTCTATGAGATGTTCAAGGACTCCTTCCCTTCCAATGGTAAGAAACCTGGGGCCTGTTTGCTAGAAAGTGCAGGACATTTCAGTGGCCAGCAAGCTGTTTTTGTTCTCGAATGCATCCCACTCTGAAGCTTTGCCAGGGCCTGACTTCAGGGGGGAGGGGCTTTGTGTCCGTGGTAAATCACCTGCTTTGCTTGCAGAAGGTTCCAGGTTCAGTCCCTGGCATCTCCAGTTAAAAACACCAGGCAGTAGGTGATGTGAAAGACCTCTACCCGAGAGCGATGCAGCCAGTCGGAGTAGACAGTACTGACCTGACGGACTCATGGTTTGGTGAGACTTGCCCTGATTCAGCACTCTCACCAAATCACTACAGCAGAAGCACACGCCGTATATCAAATCAAATCAAGACGGACGCCTGCTTTGGGAAAGCACGCTGGCTTTGGGGGATTCAGAAACTTTGGGGCCTTTTATTGTCATAATAATTCTGTTCCATTTCTCAGGCTCTGCCCCTTTGGCTGTTAATACCTTTGTGTAATGTTGCTGGGCCTTGCTATGGGCAGCTGGGACTCGTCAAGGCAGTGCGGAAATGGCACCGTTTGGCATCACGGCAGGGCTTAATATAAAGAACGAGCCGTGCCGCATGGGGTGGTGAAGCTTCCCACTTAGAAGAAATCCGTATTGGCCAGTGGTCTTCTTGGGGGAAGAAGAGGCTGCTGCCTGAGAGGGAACAGAGTGGCTTCTGCTGCCTCTTCTGCGGCTAAATAGATGATTAGTATTGATAGCGGTGCCTGAAGGCTCAGCTGTGCTTGCTATGAAAGTCAAATCTGCTCTGCACTGAGTCAGTGGATGATGTTTAGGCATTAAAAAGAAGTGCTGGTGACATTGCGCTTGTTGGATATTCCCAATGCCCCCTGCCTGCCGGCCACCATCCATTGACTCGGTGTTTTATTTTATTTTTATTTATATATTGGATTCATGAATCACCCAATCCCTGCTATTGCTGGGCCCTGGGTGATGTACAGTATCCGTAAAACACAACCAGATAAAATCATTAAAACATTAATAACACATATCCCAAAAAAAAAAGAGAGAGAGAGATGGTGAATACTAATTAATCCGATTTCAGGCTGTCGTCTACTTCGTGAGCAGGGTGGAAGAGGGCAAAATAAAGGTAAACAGCAGGAGGAATGAGAAGGTGTAGGAGGAAAGGCCCCAAATGACCGGATGGCTCTAGAACAGTCAGAGGAAAAATTCTTTCTCTGCAACATTGATTAAATGGGGGGACATGGTTTTGAAAATTTTGGTGTGTATTGAAGTGTTGAGTTGAAAGGAAAGGAGGCTCCTTTGCTATCTCAGGGGTAGATACTCAGCTGGTAACATTTGCCTTTTGTTCTCAGACAATCTGGAACTGAACGCTGAAGAGAAAGCAGCATTAATTGCTAGCACCAAGTCTCCTATCTCCTTCTTCAGTAAACTGGGTCAGAGCATCTCCCGGAAGCGGATGCCAAAGGTAGTTGCCGCTCCTTTCAAGAATCAGACTCTGGAAAGAGTGTTCTATGTGTATTCTTGCCCCAGTCTGGTGAGGGGAGATGACCATGTGAAAACATGGTGTGCTTCTCCTTCTGAACTTGGAAAATACCGCACATAAAAGGATAATCGGTACTCTTTTAACAAGCATTTGGCTGCTGATACACATGTTCAACCACTGGTATTTTCTCTGCTGTTCCCGATTCCCCTTTTCATTTTCATTTACTTCAGTTATAATCTGCTTTTCTCATTAAGACTCAGGGTGGATTACAGAATTAGGAAACACTGCGAAAGAGGCTAGTGTAATATATGCAACGAATAATGCAAGAAAACCGGATTACAAAATTAAAGAACAGTAAACAATGCAATAAAAATTACTTTTTTCACAAGCATTAAAACTATAAGCCTATTTCCTTTATAAAAAATTTTCCCCTGAACAATTCCATCTTTCACATTCTGCAGAATAACAATAATATGGGAATCTTCCTGAGCTCATCATTCCTTCCTACGGAAGCCACATCCGAGAGAGCTCGGGGATGAGCAGCTGTTGCCAGCCTCTCACCCCTTTGCAGGATGGCATATTCAGGAGGCTTTGCTCCGATGCACTTTGTGCCACTTTAAAAGAAACAACAACTCCATCCATGATGCTGACTAGTCTTGGGCATATACATACTGTAAATAAAGTTTTTCTTTTAGAAATGAGGTTATTTTTATTTTATTTTTTGTGATTGAGGCAACGGTAGGATGTTATCAAAATATTGCTGGCTGCTTTTGATTTATAAAACTCAGCATAGAAAAGCTCAGTAAAACAATTAATGGGCCTGCTGAAGCCGTATGCACATGTCCTGATTCTGTGATGAAAGGGGTGTGTGCGGCTATGAAAGGAACGTTGACACAGTCGTTTGAGTGGGGCAGTGGTCCTGATTTAAGCTTCCTTCCCTATCCAAAACAGTGACGGGTGCTGCCACGTTTAATGGATAAACAATAAAAAGATGAATGAACCCAAAATACATATGTTAAACAACCAATTGCAAAACTGATTAAAACAAGAAAAAGGAACAGCGTATGAACGCTGTCTCTCTACCGGCTTTATGAACAAAGTCCAAGCGGTCGTATTCTTTAGGTTTAGATTAATTTTGGCCAGAATGCTGTTTCCCAGTTGCTGTGCCTACATTGAGATTGGCCATTGGCATACCTTTGCAGGCTTATTGCATGGGTCGTGAAATGAGATGGAAGCACTTGGGGTGCTGGGGCATTGAAAACTTTGATTCCCCACATGGAAGATGAGCTTCTGCATACTGACAAGGAAAGGTCAGGGCGAAGCCTTGTTAATTTTTGTCAAAGTGCAGATAAGAGTTACAGGATGTACTTTGGGCTGAGAGATTTCCCAAGTCTTGCTAAGTGGATGAGTAGATTGTGGTGACTGGTTGCAGCTGGCATGTCCCCGATCCTGCTGCTGTATAAAAAATCTGCTAAGAAAACTGCCTGACAATGGGCTGAGAAATGAATACTCTATTCCCACCCCCTTTTTCTTTGCTTAGGATAAAAAGGAGAAAGACCTGGATGGTTCAGGAAAGAGGAGGAAAACAAGCCAGTCAGAAGACGTAAGTATTTCAGTTCCCCTGTGGTCTTTCTCTGCCTGTAGCAATGCTGTCTCAAATGGACTTTGTTTTCACGGGGAATCCAGGGTTGCAGTGGATACAGACCGGGTGGCCTGGAGCACAGAATCTGGAACGCAGGCATTGCACTGAATCACTGGGATTGCTGATTTAACAAAAGAAGTATTTATACTCCTGAAACAGTTACCAATTTAAAAACATGAATGAGAATGATTAAACAGTGGGGTTTGCTGCCAGAGGATGTAGTGATGGCCACAGGAATAAGCAGCTTTAAAAGGGGCTTAGATTCATGGAGGATAAGTCTTATCAGTGGCTACCAGCCATGGTGACTGAGGGGTGCCTCCACATTCAGAGGCACCAAATCTCTGAATCCCAGAGCCAGGAGGCAACACCAAGGGAAGGCCTCGGCCTCTATGCCCTGTTGTTGGTTCTCTAGAGGAACTGGTTGGCCATAGTGTGAGACAGGATGCTGGAATAGATGCACCACTCTGCTCTGATCCATCAGGGCTCTTTTTATGTCCTTATGAATGGGATGGTGGCTGTACAGAGCAGAGCAGGAGGATCGAGAGCAGACAGCCCTTGGATATAAATTGGGGTGGCTAGAAGGCAGAGCTCCTCTTGTAGAGCAGCTACCAGACCTTGCTTTCTTTCCTCCCACCCAAACTTTGCAGATCAAGTGTCCTCCCTTGCATAAGGTGGTTGGTGCTGTGATATATCGTGCTCGGGAAAGAGGAAGACTCAGCATGGGATGTTTGCCCTCCGTTTGCAAGACCCGAGCAAGGCTGTCAAAGACAGGACATTGGGAGGTCATTCATTCATAGGGGTCACCATCAGTGCTCCCTCTAAGCTGTGGAATCTTGCGAGCAAAAATTCTACTTTGTGAGCTTCTGGTATTAAAGTTGTGAGCAAGCGATTTGGCCACTGCGATAATTAGTTTGCTCCGGAGCCATCCTTCCTGGGCTGAGACAAAAAAATTGTGAACCAGAGGCTAAAAAACTGTGAGCTAGCTCACACCGACTCAGCTTAGAGGGAACACTGGTCACCATAAGTTGGGAGCAGCTTAATGGCACTTAGCGCACGTGCGCGCGCACACACACACACACACACACAGAGGGATCAGCAGTAACATTGACTTGAGTCGCTTAGTGGAACACATGTCGGTCTGTAGCATCAAAGAATCCCAGACTCGTACCACTGAGACTCTGCTCAAGACCTCTTTCGTTTTGCAAGCATTGAGCATATGCAGCCTGTACAGCTGCACAGGCTTAAAAAGGTCCTTAAAAGGAATACTTAAACCTCATGCCCTCAGATGAAGAGGATAAACTTTTGTCTGGGCAGCACTTCAGAAATTGTCTGTGGACTTTTTTTATGATTGAATCCTCTTTCGTACAAAACTAAATTCCTTCCACCTAGAAAAATTGCACTTCAAGCACAAGGGTTCTTGCCTAGTCCTTTTGGTGGTGTGCCTAGTCCTAGATAAAAAGTCCACATGGTCAAAGCAATGGTATTCCCAGTAGTCATGTATGGCTGCGAGAGCTGGACTATAAGGAAGGCCGAGCGCCGAACTATGGTGCTGGAGAAGACTCTTGAGAGTCCCTTGGACTGCAAGAAGATCAAATCAGTCAATCCTAAAAGAAATCAACCCTGACTGTTCCCTGGAAGGCCAGATAATGAAACGGAAGCTCAAATACTTTGGCCACCAAATGAGAAGGGAGCCCTCACTGGAGAAGACCCTGATGCTGGGAAAGATTGAAGGTCAAAGAAGACGGGGACGGCAAAGGATGAGATGGTTAGACAGTGTCATAGGTGCAACGAACATGAAATTGAGCAAACTTCAGATGACGGCAGAAGACAGGAAGGCCTGGCGGGAGCTGGTCCATGGGGTTGCAAAGAGGCGGACTCGACTGTGCGACTGAACAACAACAACTAGTCCTTTTGGCTTGCTTTCTGTGTGGGTGGGAGGTCTTCTATTTGGTTTTGTTCATAATTTTATCTTGCCTTTCTCCATCATGACACTCATGGGATTCCCAGGAGGCCTCCCATCCAGGCAGGAACCAAGTTTGCTTAGCTTCATGAAGGTGGCTGCATCCTCTGGGACCATTTGAGGACACACACACACACACACACACACACCAATGCTACAATTTGGAAAAGTTTTACCCGCTCATCTGTGAATTACATTACATTCTTGGGAAGCCAGGTTATTCAACAGAGCTTTCAGAGAGGTGTAGCTGTCTTTGAATACAGCCTTCTCTGATTTATGGTCATCATTTGACGTATTGCAGGAAACGTTTCCAGTTGTACCTGGGTTACAGCCCCTCCGTATGTATTCGAAGCTTTCAAGAATGTGCGAAAACCATGCAGCACATCCTGAAAGAGTGCATTAGAATTTGCAACCATGAGCAGTGAGAATTGACTCATTTGTTTACTTGGTTTATGCCCTGCTTTCCTCCCCTGTGGGGAGCCCAGACATTTTACATTGTTCTCCTTTTCTTCTCCACTTTATCATCACAGGAACTCTGTGAGAGAGATTAGGCGGTATGTGGCTGGCCCAAGGTCACCCAGCAAGCTTCCGTGGCGGAGGAGGGGGTTCGAACCTGGGTCTTCCAGATCCTACCCCAGCATTCTAACCCACTTGTATGAAACACGTGGCAAGAGTTGGATCACATTTAGTTCAGACAGCCTGGTTTGGGTACCCAACTGCATCTCTGCTCAATTATTCCTGCAGTTTTGTGTTTATAGGAAGATGAGCGTTGTGAGGCGGGGAAACTGAGAAGGAGATATGCTTTGAAATGCATCTGCACTTGGAGCAGTATGGAGAGGATCCACGAAGGATTCCATTAATGGACAATTTATACTGATTTGGCAGGAGGACAGCTCCCGAAGCTACAGAGAAGAGAGGCCTACCCTGGTGAGCGCCCTGACGGAGAGAAAAATCGATGCCGCCATCGGGAACCAGAATAAAGTGAAGTCCATGGCAACGCAGCTGCTGGCCAAATTTGAGGAGAACGCACCCGCGCAGTCCACAGGCATCCGGAGACAGGTATGGGGCAGTTTGCAAGCTGGGTGCCTTCTTGGACCTCTGCTAGCGGCTTAGCTGGCGAAGGGAGTCTTTTTGTACGTCAGGGATGACCTGGAGGCCTTTTCGTTTTGGTGAAGATAGTAAAAGCTGGTACAGCAAAAGCTTTGTTTCCCAGTACTCTTGGGGGAATGGGGTTTGCCAGGTAATCAGATGTCCAAGAAAAACCAATAAATAACAACTGTGCACTGACCAACCCACCCAAGAGCAATAGAAAAGACTGAATAAAACCTGAATGATTGTTTACCTGTTAAGAATCTGCTATGAGACTTACAGTATTGGCTTGTAGCTCCTGAGGAAGGACCTGAAGTCCGAAACACTAATGCATACCTAGGAAAAGTGTTGAAAAGTGTTGGACATCTGACTTCATTGTGGACATCTATTCCAGACTTGATTGTTATGAGAGATTGTTATTCTGGACTTTGTTCTTTCCCTTTGGGATATTATGAATTTGTGTATTATCCTATGATGGATTACATGCATTGAATTACTTATTGTATTGAAGTCTCTTTTCTATTGCTCTTGGGTGGGTTGGTCAGTGCACAGTTGTTATTTATTGGTTTTTCTTGGTCATTGTTTACTGTGGACTATAAGTAATCAGATGTGCCTGTTAACAAAGCTTTTACCTGGTGGCCAGTGGACAGCAGCGCCAGCCGAGCAGCAACCGTGCCCAGGAACTGGCTGAGACCCCCAGCACTCTCCCAGCGCTGACCTGTAGCCACCCCAGCAGGGTGGCATTGAGAAGACAGCAGTGCCGGGTGGATTGTGCGTGAGGGACTTGGGCAGGTGTTGGTTAACAAAGCTTTTTGTCTTCTTCAGTTCCTGAATTAAAAAAAAATATCATGTGTGCCTGTCATAAGCTTCTGACTTGAGATTAGAAAGCCAATTCCTTTCAGGCACTTTTTTCAGTGGTTATGGACTTCTCCCCCAAAAGGTCAGTGCCAAAAATACAGAAAGCATTTTTGCACGTTGTTTCTTTCTTTGGCCAGATCGTCCTTTGGTACTGGGGGGGTCTTGACTGGGGGCCCAGTTTGTGCAAACCCCTGCTCTGCAGCCCAGGCAGCACCCCTCATCCCCTCCACAACACCATGTTTGTGTTACATCCTGGGGTTGTGCCTACGTGATTTGTGTGCCTCCTCTAAGCAAATCATCTGTAAAACCTGTTCTTGGTATCTTGACATCTGCTGAACATCTGGGGAAGGCCCCCCCCAATCATATGCCCTGTGAAAACCCTCCGTGCATAAGCAGCTCTCCTGCTTTGGGGAAGCTGGTCGTGGTGGCCGGCACATTCCTCTCATTAACTGGGTGTACTTTTTAAATTTAACATGCTTAAGCGTGACACAAATTATCTATTTTTGGTCATTGTTATGAAGAATCCATTTTATAAGAAGAAAGGCAGAGTTGTGAATGATACTATGATGGGGATGCCTTCAGGGCTAGGAGTGCCTGCAGTAAAAACAAACTCATGTGGGTCAGCTAAGGAAACCGCATCCCCCCCCCCCTAAGTGAATGCAGAAACTCTGGAGGGGAAACTGTCCCGTGAACACACAAAGCTCTCTTAATACAAAGTCAGACCATTGGTCTGCTGTTAACGGTCAGCAGTTCTCCAGGATCACAAGAAGAGAAAGGCCCTTTTTGAACACTTAGTAATGAAGAACCTGTGCCTGGAAATGCCAGGGATTGAACCTGTGCAGTGGACGTGCTCTGCCACTGAGCCCCGCCCTTTGCCTGTCCTGCCTCATAACCCAATAGACTTTTGAGCGTTAAAACAAGACATGGCCAAGAAGCTGCCAAAGAGCATTTTCGTAGCACAGACACCCAACTCTTTATCCTCCCTGTGTCCATCTCTGGTGTTTCAGAAGGAAGGATGCACTCTCCGAAGCTTAGCGGTAGAGAGAATCCTTCCTGATGCCAACGTGCTGTGCTAAGTTGCAGGAGCCAGGCGACAAAGCCATCTTAGGTCATCTTCTACTCCAGTAGCTGAAAACTCCTCCCGATTTGAACCTTGATGGATCGGCATAAACAACCAGACTAAAATCATAGCTGTATATATCATTCGACCTAGTCCCCCAGACAATAAGAGGGTTAGAGGTTATCAGAGTAAATGACACACAAGACCGTATTTTATTTCAGCCCATATTTTATTTTCATAGCAGAGGATAGACACTTAGCTACTGGTACAATGATTTTGGGCAACCCCAGCCAATGAAATTTTAAGAGTCTTCTGCTCGGGAAGCAGTTATTTATCATCCAAAACAGGTTCCATAAAATCCAGACATGCCTTGACTGTTGAATCTACAATAAAATAATGCGCAAGCCAACAATTCAGTCACGTTCTCCAAGCAAGGACAGAGTCTGCCATCAGCTGGCATAGTTTTGCATCTTCCTGTTACCAATGCCGATGGTGGCACATTAAACCTAGCCTGTGTAAAACCACGACGAAACAACGAGAGCTGTACATAGAGGGCTGTACAGGTTTCCATATTCCCCGCCTTACTTGTGTCCCTTTTCATACAAATTTATATTTTATTTGCCAACTAATTTTTCCTTACTCCATCTTTTTTCCCCCCTCCTAAATGTCTGTCTGCTGATTCCCCCCCCGGTCTGATTTGTACCCTTCCCCCTTGTGGGTTTCTCTGTGAGTTCCGTTCTACCTTTTATGTAAACGCCCACTGCGGCCTCCATCCTGCCATCCCCCCATGACCTGCATGCCACAGTGTGCCCAGCCTTATCAAGACCGTGCTCTCAGCCAGCCAGCCTATCGCCAGAGAGAGCAGGGCCGTCTGGCTCCTATACCTCAATGGAAACAGGTAAAGCCGAGTTGAATGAATGACTGTGACGCTCGTTCTCATCTAAGCTACCCACCCCCACTGGCTGCTGCTTTTCCATTCCAAGCCACCTCCAGTATTTCAGGCAATACACGCAGGTGTTGTTGTTTTTAGATGGAGACCTGAATGTCTTCCACTAAGTGAACGTAATTTGCGTCAAAGAGCTGGAAGTAGTATCTTTCACTTCTTCCTCTTCTCCGCCCCCTTCTTGACAATCTTTGAATATTTGAGCACAGATTGTGATTTCAAGTGCACTCCTATTCATTTGAATAAGAGCAATCTTATTCGCATTACTTATTCCGATAACAGTGCACTCTTATTCACATTACCTGTTCCAACAATAGGATCACTCTTAGGAACAATTCCCACGAAAATCAATGTCTGAATGTGTTATACATAGGAAAGCAGGAAGTAATTTGTGTCTAGTGGGTTTCAGAAGAGCTAGATTCGAGACCAGTAACACCTTAGAGACATACAAGATTTTCGAGGTACAAGTTTTTGAGAATCAAAGCTCACTTATCAATGAGTGTGTAATCCAGACTTGATTTTGAGGTGTTTGGGGTTGGATTGAGGAAGCTGTTAATGTGTCTAACGCGTTCTGATATTCAAGGGATCACTCACAGCTAAAGACTGAAAAATACAGAGTTGGAATCTGGCCTCCTTCTGGCCATTAACAATATTTCCATGAAACACAATATAGCTCTCAGAGCATGCTTTGTGCATTAGTTCCAAGTAAATGGAAATTGCCTAATGTCTCATACTCAGTACATAGAGGTCACTGAATCATGCCAGTGATTTGCGTTGCAACGTACACATTTGAAGTCTGAAATCTGCTCACTCTTCCTGGTGCTGATGCAGACTTTTACTGTTCTGCCAGTAAGATTTTGATCCTTTCTTCAGCTGTGCTGGAGGAGTTACTTTTGCTAGTACAACAGGCTTTTCCCCCTTGAGAGAGTTCTGAGGTCGGCTGTTGTGTATCACAAATCTTTCTGCCATCTGCGTTTTCGAACCTCTGAGACTTTGTATATTTACAAAGCAGCCGTGAAACTTCAGAGAACCGCATCCTCCACAGTAAAAAAAATAAAAATAAAATCTCTTTTCCTCCTTTCATAAAAGAGAGAACATCTTGGAACGTATCTTTGATGTAGGTTTAAAAAAAGTGAGCTTGCCTAACTTGGAGGAGACAATTTAGAAACTGGAACGTATTTTATTCATTTCTCTTCCTGATCTGGCTTGTGATGGCCACGCTCCTTTAAACATATTAGGGACCAGAACAGCTACCTTCCTGAAACTAAGCTGAAGACAACTGTCATCAGCATGCACTTAATTAATTAATTGAACGTGAACTTAATTAATTCGTTCAAGCTGCCGGCATGCAGCACCTGGTGAGCTCAGCAGGTTTCAGGTCGGTAGCTGCGTTGGTCTGTAGTAGGGGAGCAACACTGAAGTCCAGCAGCACCTTAAAGACTAACGGAATCTCAAAGGCCTAAGCGTTCACTAGTCAAAGCTCCCTTCAGATACCTGCATCTTTGGTTGAAGGGATCTTTACTTTTCCAAAGCTGTCTATATATTTATTATTTGTATTGATATCTCGCCCATCCCACGAGCAGGCTTGGGGGGTAACATCATGCAACAATACGATAAATACAGTTAAAAATTTAAAACACAGTAATAAGCGTTAAAACAAATCACAATTCAGACAAGTCAACGGGTTGTGGGCAATGTTCCCTCTAAGCTATGGAGTCTTGTGGGCCAAAATTCTACTTGGCGAGCTCCTGGCATTAAAGTTGTGAGCGAGCGATTGGGCTCCTGCGTAAATTAGTTTGCTCTGGAGCCGTCCTTCCTGAGCAAAGGCAAAAACGTGTGGGCCAGAGGCTAAAAAACTGTGAGCTAGCTCGCACTTACTCAGCTTAGAGGGAACACTGGTTGTGGGAGGTTCCCTGGCATACTATTTGGGTTGGTAGGTGGGTGGCATATATGGACACCCGCTGCCTCAGCCAAAAGCTCCGTCTCGCAGGCCCTGCAGAATTGAAGAACCCGCAGGGCCCTAATCTCCACAGGGAGCATGTTCCACCAGGCCGGGGCCAGGGCAGGAAAAGCCCTGGCCCTGGTCGAGACACGACAGACGTCCTTCAAGCCAGGGACAACCAGGAGGTGTTGGTCCACAGAGCATAATGCTCTTCAGGGCATATACGGGAAGAGGCAGTTCCTCAGATATGTGGGTCCCAGGCCATGTAAGGCTTTAAGAAGAAGAAGAAATTGAATGTATACCCCGCCCTTCACTCGGAGTCTCAGAGTGACTTACAAACTCCTTTCCCTTCCCTTCCATACAACAGACACCCTGTGAGGTAGGTAGGGCCGAGAGAGCTTTTTCAAGAACTGCTCATGAGAGAACAGCTCTGACAGAACTATGGCTTGCCCAGGGTCATCCAGCAGCTGCAAGTGGAGGAGTGGGGAATCAAACCCAGTTCTCCCAGGTTAGAGTCCGCGCACTTTACCACTACAGCAAACTGGCTCTCCCCCCCTTGAAGTAAATCCAGAAGTCAACTGGCAACCAATGTAGTTGGCAGAGCACCTGCCGGATGTGAAATCTTGTTGGTCTTTAAGTTGATACTGGACTCGAATCTTGATCTTCAGCTTACCTGCTATAGCTAGCATCATCTCATTCCTCAGGTGTTCACTTTGATGCTTTTAGCTCGAGTAGCGGCCTTTGGACCTGAAGCCTCTCATCTCATGCTGGCTGAAATTGTGCACACCTCCCTCTCTGGAGGTCTTCAAGCCAAAGCCGAACAGCTACCTCTAGATCCGGAGTCCTTGTATTGAGCAGGGAGTCAGACAAGAGGACCATAAAGGTTATTTGGATACAAATCCTTTTGCTGCTATTTGAGGCTTGCTCCTGAGTTCCTCTGTATTGGATTGTGACTCTAAGGACGATTCACACAATTCTTGCTTTCTATCCAAACTCCAGCTCTTTGCATCTATTTATACCCCGCCCTGAGCCTTTCCACGGGGAGGGCGGGGTATAAATATACATAAATAAACAAATAATATAAATCTACCTAGATTTTGGCATCCCTGTGATAAAGCAGTCATCTGAATATTGTCAAGGTTGCAGCTCACCTGTGACAGAGCTAAACTGCTTTAGGGTAACCTTCCTAGTGTTTCACTTTATGCCGTAAATGATTCTAAGCAAGTGCTGTTATCTTGATCAAAGACGATCAAATAACAAAGCCCTTAGAGAATCACAGCAGAACAAGTGATTAGGAAATCTCTTCTTCCCTCACCACGAGTAACACTTCAGTGTACTGTGGGGCAGATAAGTAACTTTCAGCTGTCCTGTTCCTGGACCTACAATATAATATTACTTGAACCTTTGCTCTGAGGCGGAGTTGGAACGGAGGGTGGGAATGCTGACCAGATTTCAAGATTACAATACATTTATGGGTTGTGCCACTTTGCACACTAAAGTATCCTCAAGGATGTTTCTAATCCAGTAGAACTGGGAAAGCCATTAAAGTGGTTTATCACTAGATGCTTATGGTGTCCTGTGGTGGTGAGGAATTTGGATTGGACGATATATCTTTCATAGTATGCATCCCCCATCTGTAAATCTCCCGCTCCAGGTTACTGTAAAAAAGAACAGGGGAGGAGGAGGAGACTGTAGATTTTCCTGTTCAAACCTCTGTTACTTTTTAGGGATATGAGCAGGCTGATTTCCTTTCTCTGTTCCTACTTTTTTCCCTCCCTTTGCTGCTGTCAACAGAAGGGCAACAAGCATGCTAAGCTCATTGTGAAAAGGCAGGTGTCCTCCTTCAAGTTTACTAACTAATGTTTTTCTGCATACCTATGAAGTCATTGGGTATGGGGGGGGGAACTCTGCCTTGTCTGTGGGTGGCCCCACTTCACTAGCTATGGACAGGCAGTCAGCCATCAGCTCTAGTTTTAGAAGCAAATTGCTCCAGCCTCTAAAGCATAACACACTAGATGGCCACAGGAATAAGAAAGAAGGAATATTATCTGTGTTAAGATCAATTAATCATAGTGATCTTGGTCTTCCTAATACTAAAGGGAATTAGATCTTCTATCATGTCGTTTCTTCAATGGTTTTCCTTCTGGCTCAACATGGGAATAACTTTCTAAGGGCAGTAATGTTTATGCTCCTTCACTGCAGTAAATGAGCCCTCCCCCATAAGTCTTGTTTGGACCTTGTTTTTTTTTTTGTTTTGTTTTTTTTTAAAGAATTTATTTATGCTTTTTCCAACAAACAAACAAACAAAAAATAAAAATCCGAATACATTCTTGTTGTACAAATCAGTTTCGGAGTGTTCATTATACATTTTTTTCAAACCATTTATACACTTTAAACCATCTTTTGTTATAAACATTATCGTCTCTTTCTGCTAATATCATATTTAATCTGTCCATTTCTGCTATTTCGAATATTTTTTCCATTATTTCTTCTTTTTTAGGTAGTAAATCTGATTTCCATTTTTTCGCTATTAGAATTCTGCTTAACGTGAGGATATATAACACAATACATTTATCATCCTTGTTTATTATATCAGGCAAAATATTAAGCAAGTAACTTTCCGGGTTAAGCTGCAGATCTATTCCTACAATTTCTTTTATCAGATATTTTACCATTTTCCAAAATTTTACTATTTTGTCGCACCTCCACCATATATGATAGTATGTTCCTACATTATTATTACATCTCCAACATACATCCGAGACATTTTTATAACATTTCGCTATTTTATCCGGTGTCCAGTGCCACCTGTAAAACATTTTTAGAATATTCTCTTTATAAGGTGTGGCTCTTACTATTTTTTTCGTTTGGACCTTGTTAAACCACAGAAATTCACATTCTTGTTTATTTTTGGTTTTGAAGATAAGGTCATATTGACTGCACAACACAAATTTAGGATTGCATTGGCTGGGCCTGTTATTGATGGGTTTCTGTTCTCAGCGTGTCGGATAGCTTCTAGCATTAAAATATGTGGATTCCTACCACTTCTGTAGGCCTTGGGTTGCTGGAGTGGGGGTCAGCTTCCTGCCTGTAATGTAGTAAATGAAAATGCCTTCTGTGTAGCTCCAGTGAACTTCATCACTCTAACCCATTCTCCATTTGCATACTTACCAGCACTTGAATGTGTCTGATGTGCCAAGTGTGCTTGTGAAATTGGAAGTTGCATGGTTTTAAAGGCTGAGGGATGGGGGAGGTCAAGGTGTTCTATAGATGCACTCATCTGTGAAGTGTATTGACTTGTACTTGTTCTTGGAGGGGAATACGTGTCCAGCCTAAAACTGTCTTTCTTGATGCTGCTAATACCAACCAGCCTCTTCTGTTTAGAAATGGGCCTTCACGTGAATGAGAAGTGGCCCGGACTACCTTGGCTTCATCATGTGCTTCATCATGTGCAAACCTCCCTTTCGTTTAAACCCATTAAGGTGTATGTTCTTCACTGACTGTTTTTGCACACTCAGAGTGCATCCTACTGGAGGATGGGAAACATTCCTTAATGTATGCCATGGATTCTACCGGCCCTACAGAGGCGGCTTCTTTACCTGCTGGGAAAGCTGTGGAAGGTCACTCCATGTAGTTCCTATTTTTTGCCTTGTTTTAAGCCAAGGTGCTCAAGGTGCATCTTTCAGTAAAGTGAATTTATAGATAGATGGATGATGGAGGAAGGAAGGAAGGTGTCTACAAGCATGGACGCCTTCAAGAGGAAATTGGATAAACGTATGGAGCAGAGGTCCGTCAGTGGCTATTAGCCACAAGGAACTCTCGGTCTGGGGCAAGTGATGCTCTGTATTCTTGGTGCTTGTGGGGGGCGGGGACAACAGTGGGAGGGCTTCTAGTGTTCTGGCCCCACTAGTGGACCTCCTAATGGCACTTGGTATTTTTGGCCAATGTGTCGCAGAGTGTTGGAATGGATGGGTCATTGGTCTGATCCAGCATTGGCTTCTCTTATGTTCTCTCAAGGCAGGCAGGGAAAGCCAGGTCCAAAGGGAGCAACAGATGGAAAGATACAAAACAGAAGAACATCTACTGCAACTTGGTTTGACAAAACTGAAAATGAGGCACACAGCCACTATCACTCTCTTTCAGTTCACAATTACATATAATGTTCAGAACCTAACCTAACATTTTAGAGATGAGCCATTAGCACCTTCTGGCATGTATTCTTAGTTTATTTGAAGGATACAGGATATTTCTGTAGATTAACTAGGCTGATTGCAGAAGAGTTTTTCAAACATCACGCACAACTGCTAAATATTAGCAGTTTTGTTCTGCTGTATGTTGGTGCATTTGAGGTTGCGCAGTTACAGGACTCCGTCCATTCTGACCTCATGTACGCAGATCTCCAGATTATTTGAATCTCGCAGTTCTGTCTCCCATGTTAATGTGACCCTGAATGCCTAGAAGTCTCGCTTATCCCAAGTGGAAATGATCCAAAGGCCTGTCCCTGGAACCGTTTGAGCAAATCAAGTTGTACGCAGGGCGCGTAAGGTGACAGGCAGGCAGGCAGGCAAGGACTTCCACTGATGCTGGATCCCGCCTGAGGAAACATCCGGAGGATTCTAATGTTCTGATCTGTGGCATTGTCTATTTGCGCTTGTCCTCTACAGAAGAAAAACAAGGCCATCCTCCTCCAGGATGATGCATTCCTGAGGCCTTATTCACAGAAATAGCAAGGGGGAAAAAATGGTAAAAATTCATATGGTCCATGAAAAAAGTCGCCAACGCATAGACTAATGTTCTCTCGGGGAGAAGGCTCGGCTGAACTGTTTCTCCCCGACAGTTCCCTGTGTGCAGTGGAGGTGCATTCTGTGTTTATGGCGCCCCGCCCAGCGGTACAGCCCGGGAACGGTTTTAACTAATTCATCAGATGTTTATAAGCTGTGGCTTGTGGCCTTGGCAATGACCATGTTTCTCCCCCCCCCTCCTGTTTTTAAACAAAGATGAGGAGAAAGGAGCGTTCTCGGACCTGCCCCAAAAAAGTGATCATGCTCTCTTCTTCCTCCACTTGCACTTCCTCTCCATCGTACCCCAGTCAGCAGGTGATTTCTTTCTGCATGCGCTGTCCTCCTCCCTTCTCTTCCTGCTTCCACCAGACCCGCCTGCTGCTCCTCTTCTCCCGCTTCCACCAAAACCGCCTGCTCCTTCTACTCGGAACATTCAGCAGACCTCCAAAGCCCCAGGGATGCAGATTTTTTTTAAACAAATAATCTCCGTCCACTTAAACCTCTTGCAACCCCCATTAACTTTGCTCTGTGTTTTTTTTAATATCAGATAAGAAACCAGAAGTCTGAGTAATGCTACTGTTGGTATGGCTCTGTAATCATTCACTTAAAATATTAGCGGCAGCAACAGAAGTGGCATTTCTGGACTGCAAAGAGAACATTTCTTTTTTTCTCTCCTGTTTTTTTTTAGTTTAGGCCAGTGGGATTTTCCTTGATACTTTATTTAATTATACCCAGGCTGCCACTTTTGGTCCTCAGTGGGGACCCAAAGCACCTTATAAGGTCATTCTCCCTTCCACCATTTTACCCTCACAACAATCACCCAGTGAGGTAGGATAGGCTGCGGGAGACTGACTGGCCCAACGTCACCTAGTGAGCTGTCATGGCAGAGTGAGTCTGGCGGGTCCTAGTCCAAAATTCTACCCACTACACCATGCTGAGAAGAGAATTATGTTTTAGTGGTTCTGTGGGCCTTCAGACAGCACGGATGATGAACACATTAAATTGCCTTGTACTGAATCAGACCCTGGGTCCATCAAAGTCAGTATTGTCTACTCAGACTGGCAGCGGCTCTCCAAGGTCTCAGGCAGAGGCCTTTCACATCACCTCCTGCCTGGTCCTTTTAGCTGGAGATGCCGGGGATTGAACCTGGGACTTCCCACTTGCCAAGCAGATGCTCTACCACTGAGCCACAGCTCCTCCCTACTTGTTCTAGTGGGAACCCCTGGAGCCAGCTTGCCTAGGTCTTTGTTTCATTACTGGGGGTGGCAGATGGGGTTTTCATATCAGTTCATGGCATTGTTCTCACACACACACACCCCCCTCAGTTTTTACCTTTTGGAAAGTATGAAGTTTATAATGTTCTGTATATTTTACAAGGGAGTCCTGCCTCATCTGCCTCATTTTCTCAGGAGAACAAATAATTTGCTCAACACTTCTTAGGGTTGAGCTCCTTGTGATGTGGGAGCTGCTGCAGTGCCATTCCCCCCCCCCAAAAAAAATCAGGGTAGTGCCTGAAGCTCTGGATCGCCTAGGGAGGAGTCCACGTGACAGGCTCCTTTGAGCCTTAACATTACCCCAGCAGATGCTGCTGCTATGGGAAGGAGTGATATCACAGTACCTTGTCTCACAGCCCAGAGTTTCTTGGGTTACCCCAGTGATGTGGAAATAAGCTGTGCTGCAACATGCCTCCCAGGGTAACATAAGAGCCTCTTCCTAATGACTGTCATGGCTAAGCTGGGTCTGAACCTGGATCTCCACTGTGGAAGAATGGTTTCCTTTAGTTCCATCCTCTAGATTTCCTTTAGTTCCACTACGGAAGAATGATTTCTTTTATTTCCATCCCTTGTTAATTCCATTGTTAATTCAGAGTTTTCCAATAGGCAGAGTCCAAGGATTAAAGAGAGAATGCTCCTTATTCTCCCCCAGTGTCTCTGAAGATCAAAGATGGGGGGTGGTGCACATTTTTAGGTCCCACGGGTGCACGCTTGCTCTTCAGGCTTTGGTGAGTGGAGCGGTAGAATTCATGCCAATAACAGTGACAAAATAACAGAACGCTTTCAGACGTGCACATTCCCTCTTTCAAATGTCAGGTTTCAATTTAAAGAGCAGTCTGATGGGAAGGGTGAAGATTCATTTCTGAATTCCACTTTCATGCTAGTAGGATTTCTCAGTCCTTCCCCTGCTGTAACGTAACAGCAGGTGGGGGTGAAGGTAGAGTGGGATCACACAAGCCCTGCTAGGTGGTCAGTCTGTGATAGCTCCTGACAGGTACAATATTCAGCTGTCTTGTTCAGAAAAACCTCCTTGGGTTAGTAAGGAAGTTACCCTGTCGCGACAGTGTAAGAGGAAATGATTTCACTGCACCGATCCTGTAGCACTACAGCGAGGCAAACTGGGCATTATCTAAATAACTTACCTACAATCATAATAAAAGTAGTAGCAGTAGACG